GTAACATTTTATACACGCAAAGTGGGGGTTGTGTCTTAGTCTAGGCATATATTTGCCCACTGCTATGCATTACATAATTACATATACAAAGATAATTTAGTTACACAGAAACTATAAATACTCATTATATGCTCAAACAAACCTCCATGACAATCTCCAGTCGCAGCTTAACACTTTACATCTCGAAGTAATGCGGTCAAATAGTCAATAGCTACAATAAATCATCATGAACCGCATCAGCTAGCTACTATATTAAATAATCCTTTGCCCATAGTTGAGAATAAAAAAAGTCATCAAACAAGATATATACAAAAATTTGGAATTTAATAACCTGCAAATAGGGATCGTAAAAAAAGTAAGGAAACAAGGCTAGAGATACTAAAGACATTATTTACTCAAACTACAAATCCCTATTTTGACTTCACCAAATGTGACTCTAGGAAACCGCATGGATCCGAAAATATGGATTTTGTAGTTTGAGTAAATAATGTCTAAAGTGCCTTGTTTCCTTACTTTTTTTTTACGATCCCTAATTGCAGGTTTTTAAACTCCCAATTTTGTATTTATCTTGTTTACTTGACTGACGCTCGCTGTTCACAATGCTTGCTTTTTGTATAAAATAATTCGTCTTAAAAGTCAAATACACAGATTGTTTATTTATCGTATTTACGAAGTGGTTTCGTTTGAAAGTTGGTTACATTATTTCTATTTGTTATGAACACTGGAAGGGTGTTGAATCGTGCAATAAGTGGCACGTGCATAAAGTGACTGTAATTATTATCTAAATGTATGATTCCAAATTCACCAGTTTGTAGATTAATCTTTGAGGAAGTAATCGTTTAGTATTTTCTTTATCTTTATAGATAGTAAACAAAATCATTTTGTACATGTAAGTGGGAACGAGTCACGTGTAACACTTCCAGATATCTTGACAGACCCCTCCGAGTCGTGTGTAACACCCTAAACATGTTGACAGACCCCTCGAGTCGTGTGTAACACCCTAAACATGTTGACAGACCCCTCCGAGTCTTGTGTAACACTCCAGACATCTTGACTGACCCAGAGTCGTGTGTAACACCCTAAACATCTTGACAGACCCCTCCGAGTCTTGTGTAACACTCCAGATATCTTGACAGACCCCTCGAGTCGTGTAACACCCTAAACATCTTGACAGACCCCTCCGAGTCTTGTGTAACACTCCAGATATCTTGACAGACCCCTCGAGTCGTGTGTAACACCCTAAACATCTTGGCAGACCCCCTCCGAGTCTTGTGTAACACTCCAGACATTTTGACAGACCCCGAGTCGTGTGTAACATTCCGTACATCTTGACAAATCCCCAAGTCGTGTGTAACGCCACATACTTTTTCATGAACCCCTGAGTCGTGTGTAACACTCCAGACATCTTGACAGACCCCAGTCGTGTGTAACACTTCAGACATCTTGACAGACCTCTCGAGTCGTGTGTAACACTTCAGATATCTTGACAGACCTCCCGAGTCGTGTGTAACACTTCAGACATCTTCATAGATCCCTCGAGTCGTGTGTATCACCCCCCGAACATCTTCAGAAATATAGTCACGTGTAACGTCTCAGGTTTCTCCACAGAACCGTAAGTCACATGTACCAACCTAATGATCTCCACCAATCACATGTACCAACCTAATAATCTCCACCAATCACATGTACCAACCTAATGATCTCCACCAATTACATGTACCAACCTAATGATCTCCACCAATCACATGTACCAACCTAATGATTTCCACCAATCACTTATTTGGTACCATAATAATGACAACGACAAAGGTAGACGTTCAGCTTTATTCTCGCGCTCAGGTGGGTTCAAACAGTATATAGGAGCCATGTATAGTTTGAGTTAATATAACACGTGGCGCCTAACACGTTTATTGAGCTCATTCAGTTCAAACAGCATATAGAAACCATGTCTAGTTTGAGTTAATATAACACGTGGCGCCTAACACGTTCATTGAGCTCATTCAGTTCAAAGACATGGTTTCTATATGCTGTAGTTTGAGTTAATATAACACGTGGCGCCTAACACGTTTATTGAGCTCATTCAGTTCAAACAGCATATAGAAACCATGTCTAGTTTGAGTTAATATAACACGTGGCGGCTAACACGTTTATCGAGCTCATTCAGCTCAACCAGTGTATAGAAGCCATGCTTAATTTGAATATCAATGATCACCACGTGTAATTTGAGTCAGTAAACTACGTTAAGTCTAACATGCTTCTTGAGTTCACCGAGATCAAACAGCACCATGTCTAATTTGAAACAATACACGTCTAATTGGATTTTTTTTTAAATGAAGAAAAACAATGATTATTGCCAGATATTGTTAGGAATTCAAAACAGACTTTAAACTTTGACTAACAGTTATCGTGTTAAGATGTAGAATCCTCCCATATTTCGTTCGAAAACTTTGATTTACATACAATCAAAACTGAAGATCAAATGGGATACGTCTTAAGATGCAGCCAGATACCTGATCTATCGAAAGTTAACATCATTATCCTACCAAGAATGTGTAACGAGGCAACCGGGATACGTTGCTAATAGGATTAAAGGTGCACAAATTTCTCGAAAATAATTTGTGGACCATAATTTAGTTACAGTAAGATTTATTTCCTTTCTTTGAAATATGCACTGATGACTGTGTGTGTGTGTGTGTGTGTATGACTGGTCTTTTGCTACCTTGCGAAATTTTTTTGTTTTTACTAACATTTTTTTTAAACACACGCATTGGTCAATGTAGTTCAGCCGACGAAACAGTGTGTAAAGGAAGTAGAAAGACACTAAAATAATCTCATTTTTTGACGATGGGATTTAGAAAATCCTGGCACATGCTGAAACCATCAGAAGCTCGTGCAGAAAGTGCGAGGACTGTGCCAAACTCTTCTTTTTCCCGGGAAATTTTAAAAGATCTCTCAGACGACTGATATTGGAGAATTGTCTTTTTTTTTGGTGGTAGGGCTAGAGAGAGTAGAGGGAGTGAGAAAGAAAAGGATATATAGCATTAGAATATCAGAGAGTTATACTCCTAATGAAAAGACAACAAATCCTAATGATAATCATTTATGAAATTTACATAGAAATATACACGGTTCTGTGTATTATTTCTTATAACTTCTTCTCGCACTTTTTACCAAAAATACACTGGATATATTTTAGTGTTCTGATTTTTTTCATTTGTCTGTTTGTCAAAAAATTTCTGGCCTCTTTTTAACGACTCATATTCATAGTTAGCTTATTTGAAGAATAAACGTTTTCAACACCAAAGTGCGTGTAGGGTCAGGTATATCAGTTATTTCATAACATTCGAAAACAACAACAACAAAAAACGCCTTTCGTCAAGTGATTCAGATGGACTTTTGGGTCCGTCATTCGGTACGGCCTTTCTGATGGTTCAGGGTGGAATTTTGGTATGATGAATCGGGATGGTCTTTTATTTATATAATTTAGGGTGGACGGTCCAATGATTCAAGATGGACTTTTGGTTCGGTGATTTAGGATGAACTTTTGGCCCAATGATTCATGATGGGCTTTTGGTTCGGTGATTAAGAATGGACTTTTGGTTTGGTGATTCATGATGGACTTTTGGTCCAATGATTTAGAATGGACTTTTGGTCCAATGATTCAGGATGGACCTTTGGTCTGATAATTTAATATGGACTT